CCCCATGGTCACCTCTGACCTGGCCCCGGTGGGATGGCTGACGCCGAGTTCCTCTTCCATCGACAGTGTTGCTGTTCAGCATGAACGTCCCACGTTCTCCCTCAGCGGGTGCCTGGGCGGTGTCAGCCGAGGAGAGGAGGGGGAAGGCAACTCCCAGGCAGCCACAATGGTTGGGGTGGGGGACACAGGTCCAGGCGTGTGTTCTAGGTGGGGGGAGGCGTGGTCATGGGCGAGGAGTCGCCGCAATGGAACACCCCGTGTCGCTTTTGCATAGTCAGGCGATCCCTGGGGCAGCCCTGCTTCGAGGTGCGTTCTGAATCGCCCCCCGCCTGGGTCTCTGCTAGTGAAGTGGGTGCCCATGTGCCTTGACCCGCTCAGGGCTCCCTTCCCGTGCTTGGCTCCGGCTGCCCGCGGGTAGCGCCAGTTGGGACCAAGACCCTTGCCCTTAAAGACTGAGACCACCCTTCGTTCTCGTGGGCCACCACACAAGTACCCCCTCCTACCCCAGCCAAATCTGTCTTTAGGGAAACAAAACTCCTTTTCCTCTTATTCACAGCCCCTTTGTCCCCACGCCGCCCATGCCGAGGGGTAGACACAAAGGAGCCGCTGTGCCGGCAGATTTCCCATCCCACCCTTGCGGCTTTCTCCTCATGAATCGGGCATGGCCACGGAGGGGCGGCTGGAGGCCGCCCTGTGAGGAGACAGCAGGCAGGCCTGGAGCCAGGGGCTGGTTGGGAGCCAGGTGTCCCTCGTCCCCGGCCGGCGTCTGAGTAGTGCCAGCCAGAGGGAAGAACGGGCTGCCAAAGAACTGGGCAGCGAGTGGGAGCGGGAGTCGTGGCGGTAACAGGCAGGATTCTTCTCCCTACTGCCGGGGAGGCCGTTCGTCCGTCCCCCCGGTCCTGGAAGGGAGTCAGAAGCAGGCCTTGTTCAGCCGCTTCCGACTGGTCTGCCCCCGCTGAGCCAAATGCCGGGACCGAAACGAAACGAGGGATGGACCTGGCAAGTGGTTTATGAGGGGAAGTAGCTTAGATGCCACACAGGTGCCTTCTGCTAGAAAGAGATTCTACTTGAACTGCACTGATCCCATTAGAGACGCAAAAAGTGAGGGGAAGGAGCTTAGACGCCACACAGGTGCCTTCTGCTAGGAAGAGATCCTACTTGAACTGCACTGATCCCATTAGAGACGCATAAACCTGCACCCTGGTGTGGACAGTTCTAGCGGAGTAAAACAACGTAGGCCTGCGTAGCTGCTCCTCTACAACAGGGTGGGGAACCTCAGGCCCGGGGGCCGGATGCAGCCCCCAGCTTGCCTAGATCTGGCCTCCGAGGCTCAAGGCCCCTCCCCAAGCATTGGGGGGTCCATGCTGGCCCTCCAGCCCTTCTCTGCCCCACCATGGGTCTAGAACACACAAAACCACTAAGCTGGGATCTGGTGTGTGAGGGGCATGTGGGGAGAATCTTTCTGCTTCTCAGTCAGGGGCCACACTCATGAGGGGTTTTGTTTTGGTTTTTTTTTTCAGTTTGTTCGCTTCTCACTTGTGTGTGGCCCCCGGCTGATTTTTCGGTGGGTCAATGGCCCCCGTCCCAAAAAGGGTTCCTCACCCCTGCTCTACAGGAAGGGAAATCACGGTCACTACAGGTATAACTGGGTCTATGCTATGGCTTTTACCTGCATAAATCTCACCGTGACAGCTGTCTCCATCCCTAGGCGATTGCCCGGTGCTCTCGTTCACATGGCAGGCCGATGACTATCAGAAATAACGGGCCTGGTTCTGACCTGACTTATGCCAGTCTAAGGAGTATAGTCACTGAAGTCAACGGGCTCACACGGGCGTAAAATCAGTGTGAGATCAGGAGCAAGCGGTATGGGGCTGGTCTTGGTTCCACTTCGATCTCTGACAAGCATTTCTGCCGATGTCACTGGCTTCGCTGTGGTGTTACACTGGGGTAGGAGAGCGCAGAAACAGGCCGGAGACTTCCTTCCTGTCAGAACCTGGTGGTGAGGTACCACGTGGGGCAGGATGTCGATGGGCGATAGGCAGGGGCAGATGACTGTTTTGTGGGGCCCAGGGCAGCATAATTTCGCGGGGCCCCCTTTTGCCACGGCGCATGCGCGGGGCTTTTTGAAGCGCAGGGCCCGGGGCGGCCGCCCCGTTCGCCCTACCCAAAATCCGCCACTGGCGATAGGGAGTGTAAGGAAAAACGCTTTTGGGAATGAACTCCACTGCAAAGCAAGGCAGCCTGACCAGGCCGAAGTTCCTGAGTGGTTTTCTCTGGAGAGATGACACATCGCTCATCTCTGAGGAGGTCTTGGGGGTTGTAGTATATTGAAAACGGTGTTAAATTTACAAGCTATTGTTTTAAGCTTGTAAGGGAAGCCCTAACTTGCTTGCAAGCTAAGGGCTTCTGTAGTGAAATGTGCAGTCTCGGCCTTGAACAGTTTACAGAGAGCTAGCCTAGAGAAAGATTGTGTTTCCCTTCCTTAGGGAGCAGCCTGCTTTGTCTCTTGCTGCCTTTAGTTATTGCGTGTTATCATTCAGAATGCTAAGAAATGAAATCGGGCTCCATAACAGCTTCCAAACAGGGGAATTCATGCCGTGTGTCATTAACATCACAGATTTATAAGTGGGCATTGGGTGGAGAGGCTTGGAAATTCAGTGTAGAGAAAGTTTGAATGCTGATCTGAACTGTTTGACACTAAGGGTATGTCTAGACTACAACCCTCTTTCGACACTAAACTAGGCACTTCGAAATTGCAAATGAAGCCAGGATTTCAATTTTCCGTGCTTCATTTGCATAATCGCGTCATGGTGCGCTTTCGAAAAAGCGCTATTTTGAAATTGAAACCACAGTCTAGACGCGGTTCTTTTGAAAAGGGAGTTTACAGGATTTATCAGGTTTACAGGCTCTTTTGAAAAAGCCTTCTCTTTTCGGAAGAACCGCGCCTAGACTGAGGTTTCTATTTTGAAATAGCGCTTTTTCGAAAGAGCGCCACAACGCGATTATGCAAATGAAGTGCAGGAAATCCAAATCATGGCTTCATTTGCAATTTCTGCCGAAAGAGGGATGTAGTCTAGGTGTACCCTAAGGCTGCGTCTAGACTGACATGATTTTGCAGAAATACTTTTAACAGAAAAGTTTTTCCGTTAAAAGTATTTCCGCAAAAGAGCATCTAGATTGGCACGGATGCTTTTGCGCAAGAAGTGCTTTTGCGCAAAAGCATCCATGGCCTGTCTAGACGCAATTTTGCGCAAGAAACCCCGATTGCCATTTTAGCCATCGGGGCTTTTTTGCTCAAAACAGTTCTTCCCTGTCTACGCTGGCCCTCTTGCGCAAGTATTCTTGCACAAGAGGGCTTTTTCCCGAGCGGGAGCGTGAAAATATTTGCACAAGAAGCACTGATTTTGTACATTACAAAGTCAGTGCTCTTGTGCAAATTCAAGCAGCCAGTGTAGACAGCTGGCAAGTTTTTTGCCAGTCTAGACGCACCCTCAGTGTTGTTTACAGGACGTCAAGCTGAGTTCAGGGTAGCCTCTGAAATCATCAAGGCAAAGCAAGATTGTCCCTTAAACAGCTTCTGGGTGTGACGTTGATCCTTGGCTGAGGTCTGGGTTTTCCCTTAATTTTCTAGCTTCTTTTCCAGCAGTAGGATGGCTGGGAGGGTCCAACCCAAAGGATGCTTCAGTATCACTCTCTTTACAGGGTGCAGGAATAATGGGCAGCTTCCCTCTCCATCACCTCCTCACCGAGGGCGCTGTGAGAAGCAGGGGCCTGTGGTGCAGCATGTGCTGGGTCCCATGGGGTTAAATCCACTGCACGTTTGGGGGAAGCATCAGCTGCTTTTGTGCAGAGCTCAGAAATGTGGGTGAGAGTCAGGCGTTCTCTGGGAAAGAGGCACCCGTGGAGGACACCAGCAGAGACCAAGTGGCTCCTGAGTGGAGACCCCTCCTCACACAGAGGGGACATGGGGTTAAATTCTGGACCCATTCCCTGGACAAGAGCCAGTGAGGAGAGCAGGAAAAGCGGCCCAGCTTGGTAAAGGGCCGTGCGGAGGGTTGGTACCTGCCAGCTGGCTCCTCTGAATGGTGGCTGTGAATGACAGGAGGAAGGCAGGCTACCCACGCAGCGCTAATCTCCCCTCACAGGAAGCTGC